ACACTTCACGTGATCTTGATTCTATCCCTCTGTTTATGCAGCCCAGTTGGCTTTTTTGGCAGCTGCTGCACACTGCTGGCTCATATCTAAATGGTTGTCCACTAGGACTCCAAGGTCCGTCTCACAGTTACTATTATTGAGCAAGGTACCATGTATAAGGTACCTGTGCATTTTGTTTTTCTTCTCTATCAAGCCCTCCTCCTTACAGAAGTGCTGTTCTCTAGGGCCATGTTCTCCAGAAGATGCTGAAGTCCTACTGAAAATATCAATTGCCTGGATAACAAATTAATTTAAAAAGGGCTTTCAAACATGGCATTCTAATTTGATTTAGAAATGCAACACTAGTCTACTGTGGCAGAGTAAACTAGCTGGGTATCTCTTATGCAGCCGCCTAGATTTCTTATTAGCTCAGAAACTCGCCAAAGATCAGAGAAGTTTAATGAGTTCTAATATTCTTCAACTATTGAATATTGGCAATGCCAATCACCCTGAGGATCTTTTTAATGCTAATAATAAGTTCTTAGTAAGACTTATTTGCACTATATCCAAAGCAGATATCTGGGAGAAATGAACTAGTTGGTGGCAAATCCCATCCAACTTCTTGTTTTTGCTTCTCATGAAGCATTCTACAGATTAGTACATACCGTATATTTATTTATACTATTGACATATTCATTTAATAGGTTATCATCCAGTCAATACAACCAAAGTCAGGCAGACTCAACCCAACAATTATTTATTTATTTATTTAATCTGGATAGTAAAAGTATGTTCAATTATCAATATTGTATTATAACTATATCAAGCATTATTCAAAGCAGGCTTAAGTTTAGAACTGCTTACAAAGTGAGTTTTTTTTAAAAAAAAATTGTCCACTTAACAGACTTTCTGTGAATCAAGCATGCATTCAAAAGGGCTTTGACTATAAATCTTTACTCATGCATATTTGTAATGAAACAGATGCCTTATTAGATAACTGGCCTAAACTACAGTATTTAACAGATTTAAAGATAAATGCTTTGAATTTAAGTCTGGAAAACAGTTGATTATGACCAAATGATTATGGAGAGACTCAGTTATCCAGGCCATGGTTGCCCCAAAGGTACTGTTCAGAAGGCAACTGGACTTTCTTGGTTTTTTTATTTTCCTTGAAAATGTTTCGCTTCTCATCCAAGAAGCTTCTTCGGTTCTTCAGAATTGAAGAAGCTTCTTGGATGAGAAACGAAAATGTTTTCAAGGGGGAAAAAACAAGAAAGCCCAGTTGTCATTTGAACAGCCACCTTTGGGAGTTGACAACCAAGGGATCTTCTTAATAACTGGACAGCATGAGCCCATTTTCATGCATCAGATAGGAGTGAAATTCTAACAATTTAATACTCTACAACAAGACCCTACACATGCTACATAAAACCAATGCATGAAAAGCTGCAAGCCAATTCCTTCTTAGTCAACTGGAATGAATGAACAGCTTCTGTCTTCAGATAGCATGTGTGCATTGCTGAGTTCTGTTAGCAGATGAAGTAATCCACAACATGCAGGCAAACTGTGGTCAAAATCGCTCCAGGCCTCTCTAAAAAGGCTTCCCAAAGGTGCCATTTCTTTCTACATGGTATGATCTTCAACAATAAGAGTGCTGAACACTAAAAACTAGCATGTCAACACTAGGGTAACCTTTACCCCGAGTAAGCCATAAAAAGATCATTTTTAACTCATATGGATCTGAAAAATGTCTTAGTTTCTAGTTTGCCCTCAAGACATCTGCAAATGCTGATGATGATCTAAGATCTAAAATTTAAAAATCAATTCAGTCATCTGTAATTTCCATGTACCATCCTGTAAATTACATCCATACTGAATTCACACAATATAAATATTTAATCCATAGCAAAACAAAAATGAAACATCAGCCGATGAATAGCAAACATCTCGAAAATGAAATTCTGCTGCCCTTCAAGAGAAAATCCCCTTTCCCATCTTCAGCATTTTTTTCTGTTTAGACTAATTGCTTTCTTTTTCAATTCTTTGTTCTCCTCTGGGTTAACACTCAGGGAGAACTGACCTGTACATCCATTGCTAAGCAAGGTAGTTGTTAAGTGAGTTGAGTCTGTCAGATATTGCCTGCATATGATGCACCAGAGACTAGAATGGGTTAAGTCTTTACAGACATCACATGTGACTATATCAGCCAATGAACTCTCTTATTGGACTCTTACCTAGAAACCACTTGGATATCTTCCCCTTCTTTTCTCTCTCTCTCATCTCTCTCTCAGTGAGACAACACATGAACTTCTCTCTCCTCTCAACATCTGAGTCATACAGTTAAGGTAAAAAATGTAACAGGACACCCTGTTCATTATCGTATGCATGTATATATTTGTAAATAATAAAAACAACCTTTTGAACCTGAAGCTGTATTGACCAAATAACTTCCTCATAGAACCAAATGAGCACGACCATCAAAATATATCTGATAGTGTCCAATTTGTACAGTTTCATAGTCAGTATCAACCTTCTCCAGCCAACAGCTCTGTTTGTGATGGTGAAAGGTTCATTCTCTAAGTTTGTGGGTTCATTTCCAAACATTTCATTATCAAGCTAGGTAACATCTTCAGCTGAGTTTAAAAGAATGTCAGTGTCAGTGTTCTTCAGTTTATAAAGGTTTCAGATGTGGGTGTGTCAAGGGAGGGTCAGCTGTGAGTCCTCAGTGAGTCTTGTAATGGGTTTTGTGATAAGGAGGTTACACCAGGTCAAATGTCATTAGGAGGTGAACTGCTGGTGGTGGTGGAGGGGTTGCGTGGGTTGGTTGAGGGTCAGTGCTGTCTCTGGTTGGCTGTGCGGTTGATTTGGATTCTGAGGGATTCGTAGACTGTAATGTTTGGAAACCAACCCACAAACTTGGAGAAGGAAACTTCACCCCCATCCTACACCTGAGCTACAGATATTCGCCACTATTGCAAAGCTCTATTTATGTGAAGGCACATACAATTCCCATCACTCAGTCAATGGAGATGATGGGAAGAGTAATCCAATGCATCTGGGGGCAGGGACTGATTGAGGAAAGATTAGATTATGGAAACAAATGCCTTTCCCAAAACAATTACAGACAGTCCTGGTTTAGTGACCATAACTGGACCAGCAACTCAGTTGTCAAGCAAAGTGGTTGCTAAGTGAAACTGTAACAGTGCTTATCTTACTTCAACTTTCTTTTGCTTTCCAAACCTGTCAAGGTCATAAATCTCAGGATTGATCATAAGCTTACTTCTCTACCACGATTATAACAGTGAATGGTTGTTAAACAAGACAATCACTCAGTGAGGACTATCTATACCACAGGTGTCAAATTTGCTGCAGCACGTTGCCATCACGTGACGTTTCGCGATATTTTTCCCCTTTCACAAAGCTGGGGTGGGCGTGGCCTCTGCGTGACACATCTGGCCCGTGGTCCGCCAGTTTGACACTTCTGATCTACACCGTTTCTGGTATTTTAGCACATTATTTATTTACTATTCTAATATGTTCTGCTTCTGACTTCCTAACCCTCTTAAAAAGCACAGTCTTTCTTGTAACTATTGCTGCAGTGGAAGAATCATTTATTTATTTTTTTTGTATTGGCCAGTTGAAAAGGTAGAGTGTTTTGTTTGCTTTGCTCTTGTTTCATTTTGTGGAGTCTTTGATTTTGGTTGTTTGCTTGCAGACATTTCATTATCCAATTAGGTAACATCATTAGTGCTAGTGAATGTGGGGTTTGCTCCCTGTTTATTATAGGCATTCATGCAGAAACAATCATTGTTCCTTGGTGGAGATTTGCCTACATGCACATTTTTCCCATTTGCATGCTTTCTCAAGCATCTGACATTCATATGTAGTTCCAAAAGAAGAATATACATGGCAATTCTTAGTTATCTAGGTCATGGTTGCCCTAAAGATGGACTTTGTTTTACCTTGAAGACGATTTACTTCCCATCCAAGAAGCTTCTTCAATTCTGACTGAATGGTGGATGATGGAAGGATTTATATTTCCTGCAATCATCTGGTTGTTAGAACTCAGAAACAGTTATTGAGACCACCTGAAGGTTGACTGTGACCTCAGAATCACCTAAATAGTGCAAATGGCTGTGGAACCTTCTTGGAACTGCTGAAAGAACTGTGTTGTAAGGCCTCAATGACTCTCAGAAAAAATGGTAATGATCAGATGACTACAAGGAATATAAATCCTTCCACCCTCCACCACTCAGTCAGAACTGAAGAAGCTTCTTGGATGAGAAGTGATTGTCCAATTGCCTTTTGAAAAAGGACCTCTGGGACTTCCAAAAGAAGAGAATTTAGCTCAGGGTTGAATAAAACTCACATTCACCACCTGGCTGAATAATGAAATGTCTGCTATGTCTTAAGTGACTTAAGTCTAATGAAACAGAGGTGAAAATGAATAGTTGGAGAATTACTATCAGAGTACTTATTTAAGAGTATATATTTTAAGAGGGACACGGTAGCTCAGTGGCTAAGACGCTGAGCTAGTCAATCGAAAGGTCGGCAGTTCAGTGGTTCAAATCCCTAGTACCGCGTAATAGGGTGAGCTCCCGTTACTTGTTCCAGCTTCTGCCAACTCAGTACTTTGAAAGAACATAAAAAATGCAAGTAGAAAAATAGGGACCACTTTTGGTGGGAAGGTAACAACGTTCCGTGCGCCTTTGACGTTTAGTCATGCCGGCCACATGACCATGGAGACATCTTCAGATAGTGCTGGCTCTTTGGCTTTGAAACAGAGATAAGCACTGCCCTCTAGAGTCAGGAACAACTAGCACATATGTACGAGGGGAATCTTTACCTTTACCTTTATTTTAAGAGTATTCATGTGAAGTTGGACAAAATATTCTGGCAATCATCACGTGGAATTGAAACCAAAACTTCATACATCTAGACTTGGTTGAATTATGTATCTTTTGATGGTGGTGGTGAATCATCTTTCGGTGTTTTCATTTTCCTGTCATTGTTCTTCTCAGATGCCATGACTTCTTGGATTCCGACGCGCATCTTCCAGGCAGAGCAAGTGAGAGTGCTGGTTGATGTATCACATAAATCATATTATACAAATCTCCCTGGGGTTCTTCTATCGCTCTTGCTGGCAGCAGGAGTCAAACAGACAGAATTCAGCAGCATGTACCTGCCCCGCTGCTCTTTCTTGGATAAGCCAAAATTCTTCACTAATTTGGTTTCTTGCTGCCATTATCTTGGAACAGGTAAAAAAGGTCAATTTCTGACAAACAGCATCTGTCTTTCTTGAACATAAAAAAAGCAGCACTCACGACCTGCGTTTCTCTTTACTTCCTGTTTGGCAGATTGTTTTGGTTTTAAAACAACAAAGCTATTGATACAGCATATGCTGCTGCATTCTAAAAATCAGCAGAAGCTTTTAAAGCCTAGTGCCGTTTAAATCAACACACTCCTCAATGGGTCTGCTTTTGGGGCGGAGTGGGGAGCAAAAATCTTTTTAAAAAAAAGATGAAAAAGTCAAAGTGCATTTTGAATGACTCTTGGATGATAAACCAAATTCTGAGGGACAGTAACGTTTACAAAATCCTCTCCACACACACTATTAATTCATTAGATTTTTATCCTGTTTTTATTGCTTTGTAAGTAACTCAAGGTGGCGAACATGCTTAATATTCCTTCCTCCTATTTTCTCCACAACCCTGCAAAGTGGGTTGGGCTGAGAGTGACTAACTAAGTCCTAAGCCCTAAGTCACCCAGCTGGCTTCCATGCCTAAGACTGGAGTAGAATTGATAGTTTCCTGCAGTGGTGAAATGTAAAATTTGTTACTACCGGTTCTGTGGGCGTGGCTTTTAAAAGCCTCTGACGTTCCCAGCTGAGCTGCGCGATCATCAGAGGCTTTTCTTTTTAATTTTAAATGCATTTTTTCGGCCAAAGAGGTTGTAGAAAAAAATGCTTTTAAAAATTAAAAAGAAAGCCTCTGATGATTGCGTGGCTCAGCTGGGCATGGGGGGGGGGCAGGGATTTTTGCTACCAGTTCTCCAAACCACCCACCACCATCGCTACTGGATCGGGCGATCCGGTCCGAACTGGGAGCATTACACCCCTGGTCTCCTGGTTTCTAGACTAGTGCCTTAACCACTAGACCAGTGATGGGGAACCTATGGCACAGGTGCCAGAGGTGGCATGTAGAGCCCTCTCTGTGGGCACACATGCCATCGCCAGTTGCTGTTCTGGTTCCTGGTGCGCACATGCACACCGGCCAGCTGGTCTTTGCAGGATCTGGCGTGCCAGAAAACAGCCTGAAAACGGCCCAAAAAACAGCCAAAAACCGCCCAGAAAATGGCCCCAAAAATGGCTTGAAAACACCCCCCAAAACACCCAAAAAACAGGTATGCATGCACCAGCTAGCTGGTTTTCGGGTTTCTGGCATGCGCGAACACCAGCTGGCCAGTGCGCATGCGTATGCCAGCGCACCAGCCAACTGGTCTTTATGTTTCCGGCACTCCAGCATGCACACTGCATGCGCATGCACGTGTACATGCGGTCCGGCTTGGGCACGTGCCGAAAAGTTTCGCCATCACTGCACTAGACCAAAGTGGTTCTCATGAAGGCCTTGAGGATATGGCAGGGTGCTTTGATGAATTTTCTGCCATTACATTTTTCTCTTTCCTTTTCCTTTTCCTTTTCCTTCCCTTCCTTTTTATTTTCTTTATATGGCCCACGCATTTTACAAGAAATTACTCTGGGTAGCATAAATCTCTGTTAGTATAATTATTTTTAGGAAATGCTTAAGCCACTGGAGGTTTGTAAAACTTCAAGGAGATACAGAGCCTGGAGGACGTAAGGAACTTTTTCTAAAAACAAACTTGCCGTGCAACTGGCGTGTGATCTCAGCTCCTAGTCTCAAAACTCTTACAATTGTGTTGTGTTGCTGTCATCCTCCATTCATTCTGTTCTCGGCAGAAGCCAGAGGCTACTGATATCAAATGGAATGGTTTTCCCTCCATGCAAGTTAGCTCAGACATATCAAAAAGAAAAAAGGCCTCGCTGTTTTTAGATGTAGCTCCCTCATGGCGGGTTTTGGAGGGGGAGGGATTAATTAAGAGTGGGGTTTTAGACAGAAGTCTAAGGGGAAATGATCAATCTATGGATAATGATACCCATCAGATCTATCTTTAAAAAAGGATGTGGTTCATAGATTATTCACAGGTGATAGAAAGGACTCAAAACCACCACATCGATCTGATCATTCAGAGGCAATGTAGAATCAAACAGCACTTCTTCAGGGCAAAAAGTATCCCAACTAAGATGAACTTGTGGAGAGAGCTATTTTATCTGATTATTAATGGTTCCTTCAGGTGGGTGAGATGCAGTGGTGGGATTCAAATAATTGAACAACTGGTTCTCTCCCTAATGACCAGCTGGGTAGGCGTGGCTCAGTGGTCATGTGACTGTGTGGCCGTGGCCAACTCAACCTCATTCACGTCGATGGGTGCTTTGCCTTAGCTGTTACAATGTAATAAGGATTAACCAGAGAGGCAGTTTCTGTAAGCAGGGCAATAAAGATTAGACTAGAAACAACACCAGAATGTTTCCTTCCTACCTTCCTTACAGGATTAGCCCTGTAAAGTGGGGAAAAAAAACAAAATAAGATTTCTTCCGACAACCAGTTCTCTGAACCGCTTAGAACCGGTGATCCCGAATAGGTGCGAACTGGCTGAATCCCACCACTGGTGAGATGCCCTCTGCCTTAAAGGAAGCAATGGTATGTTTCATGTCAACAACATCATCCTTAGATCTCTTCATACTTAATGCCAAAGACAGAGCTTACTATTCCTACAATTTTTAGGAAGAAAGAGAACAGCTTCCAAAATAAAAGAACTACAGGAATCTTAAAATTGCTCTTACATAGGCAGGCTGAGTCTTACATTAATATGCTAACATAAATATATTACCTCTATTTTTATTTACTTTTTCCCTGTCTTTCTCCTCTGCAAACATTTCTTTTGGCAGAAACCATTATTTCCTACTTTTGTGCTAAACACTCTCCTTTCTTTTCATAGATCATAAGAATAAGGAGTATATTCTGTATAAATTTTTTTAGAACAATTCATATTTTTCTTTTTCTTCTGATTGTTTTAATATACATGGTATCTTTATTTCATTTTGCATACTTAGATGATCTTCTTCTTCTCCTTCTCCTTTTTCTTCTTCTTCTACTACTACTACTACTACTTCTACTTCTACTTCTGTATGACCGTAACCTTGTTGCTGGTATCTTTAAGATTTATATTGACTGTTTCCCTATGACTATCATTAAGTGTTGTACCTTATGATTCTTGATGAATGTATCTTTTCTTTTATGTACACCAAGAGTGTATACACCAAGACAAATTCCTTGTGTGTTCAATCGCACTTGGCCAATAAAGAATTCTATTCTGTTCTGTTCTGTTCTATTCTTCTTCTTCTCCTCCTCCCCCTCCTTCTCCTCTTCCTCCTCTTTCTCCCCCTGCCCCTTCCCCTACTCCTCTTTTACCGGTTCAGGTGTTGAGGGAGATACAAAGTTCTGGCTGTTGCTCTTTTGGCAGCTTTAACAATTGTTAATTGATGTTGTAGTAGTGTGTCTTTGATGTTGTCTCTCCATCTTCTTCTGGATCTACCTCATGTTATTTGACCTTCTCCTCTTTTTGAATATGCCTTGTACTGTATTTGAATATGCCTTGTACCAAGACATCCTCTCTAGATGAGCAAACTACTTCATTTGCTGTTTTTGTATGCTGTTTAGGATTGGTTCTATGCCAATTCTTTCTCTAATTGTCTCATTTCTGATTTTATTTCTTCTGGTCACTCCAGTAGCTTTTCTCAAACATCTCATTTCTGTGGGGATTAACTTTCATTTATGTTTTACTATAAGTGTTCATGTTTGGCACTGGTAACATAGGGTGGGGGGGATGAATGAGATCCTTCTTTGTGCTGATTGGTACTGCCTTATCTTGTAGGAGTGGCACTAATACTTGGTTCACTTTACTACATTATACAGTATATTAATCTCTGTCCATTTTACCATCTTCAATGAATGTTGTTCCTCAATATTTGAAGTTTGATACTTGTTTTATGCTTGTTCCCTCTGTTGCTATGTTTAAGGTGTGCTTTTGCAATAACTTCTTTTTTCTCTTTGCTGATTCTCATATTATTTGTCTTGTATTCTTGGTTCACCGTTATAAGATATTGTTGTAGTTTCTTAGCTGCGGTTGCTAATCAATGCCTGATCATCTGCAAAGAGTGATTCATTGATATTATTTCCATTCTTGGGTTTGACTAAATTCAAAAAATTAACTCAGTAAATTCAATTAAAGATCTTTTTAACTCCAATTTCTTTCAATTTCTAGTACTTCCTCTTCTTATTTATTTGTTTGTTTGTTTGTTTGTTTGTTTATTGGTTCAATTTATATGCCGCCCTTCTCTGGAGACTCAGGGCAGCTTACAATGCTTAAGCAATTGCCTTTATACTTTTGTATATCCCTGCTTATTAGGGCTGTCGCCCCCCCCCCCCAGCGGTGTCCTTTTTTATACAAAGTCAGCTTATTGCCCTCACAATCCGGGTCCTCATTTTACCTATCTTGAAAGGATGGAAGGCTGAGTCAACCTTGAGCCTGGTGAGATTTGAACTTGCAGTAATTGCAGGCAGCCGGTGATATTTAACAGCACTTTAGTCTGCTGCGCCACCAAGGCTCTTTTACCTATTTTGGACTCTACTATTTTGGTCCTTGGCAGTAAGTAAATCTTGCCATTGTCATTTCAGAAACAGCGCTTTAGCTGAAGGCTTATACGGAGTGCTTTTTCCTTCCTGTGGAGTAATCAAAACAGGAGCTACTCTTTGAAAGAGAAAATCTCAACTCAATCATAATGCCCAGGAAGCTCAAACCACAACTCATATGATTAGGCAATGGGGGGGGGGAAACATCCCAATTGGGGGGTATGCGACTTGAATGTGGATCAGGAATTCTCTCACTTCCTCTCATTGTTCCTGGCAAAGCAGATCTGGGGGAGGGGGAGGATGGATCCTAAAGTTCATGGAATATGTACTGCTCTACCAGAAAGGTTGTGTAGATTCCTGTACACAAACATTTTTAATCGAACGGCTATTTCCAGGAATCTTTCAGTAACAGATGATAGGAATTATTGAAGGAAATCCAAATGAGGGACATGTGCCTCAGAAATGAAGATTTATTTGACCACTGATTCTGCATATATGTGGATACTGTTTATAAAATAAATGTTGTGTTTTTGCAGAAGTTATAATACTGTTC